TGGTGCCTCCGACGAACTGGTGATGCAAACGCCAGTCCCGGTTCTCTTCAGTCCGCCACCAGTCTGCATGACAGCTCGATTCAACTCTTCCATGTGTTTTTTTATACTCTCATGCTCTCGCCTCGACACCTCGATCTGTTTTGCAAGTTGCTCCTTCTCCACATCCGCAGACATGCGGATCCTAGCCCTTTCTTCTCGCACCCTGCATGGCTCTCCTACTACCGCCGACGACTTCACCATCTATGCCTTTCCTAAAAACATTTCGCAAACGTCGTTTATCTTTGATCCCACTATCGTACTAATTCTTTCATCGAACTCCTGTCTCTCTTTCAACTTCCTACGGGCTTTCTCCTCAGTATCCCTGATCTTTCTTTTTTCTTCCTCCTCCTTTAGTAGCCTCTCCTTTTCCCTAATGGCCTCCTGCCTCCCCTCGAGTTCGGAAGTCATGAACTCATAGACCCTATCAAGCTTCTCCTAATTTAGTTTCCACCATGGCTGCCTAGGAATGATCCTCTGTACGGAGTTGGAATTCGCAGCAATAGGGTTGGATGGTGGCGGAGGAAGGGTCAAAAGTGGTGCTTGCGAAGACAAACTCCCGTTCGTCGTTGGAAAAAAGGAGGATCCCACTGACGCTGGTGGAGAAAACATCGCCAATCGTGGTCCCGCTCGAAGTTGTTTACGGAACGCCGACTGTCGGTAGGGGCACTCCCGGGCAAAGTGGCCCGGCGTATTGCAGTTGTAGCAAAGGTTAAACGAAGCCATAGTTATCCGCTTCCAAGAAATTTTTACAGTAGGTCCTGCAGCAAAAGTAAGCACTTATTCCTCACACAGATAAACAAATACAATAAAAAAGCATTTACAGACTGTGGAACACTCGCAACAAGTATTGAGTCGACGCTCATTACGTACAGAGGCTAGCAGAAGCAAGAACACGCAAGACACTAATCGTACGAGGAATCTGCGAAGTGGGAATAGACGGCCACCGCGGCACGAAGATCGAAACGTGCTATGATATACACGAGATGAGAGATTCAACAGGCAAGGATTAAACGAAGTTCGAAAACAAAGAAACTCCATATCAAAACGTTATACGAGGGGAAGGATTTTACAGGCAAGGACGCGAAGAGGCTCGGTAATAGTTGGGATGAAGACGAGGTTGGAAGGTTATCATGGCTTGGCACGGAAGGAGCGATACGCAAGGAACGGTATGGACAACGAAGCACGAAAAGGGTTACAACAATGACATAGTATGGACACAATGTAGGAATATGTACCGCACAGGTACAAACAAACCTCAAAACACCCACCCTCCCGAACAACCACCGACGTTGAAATTTGACGTGATGTTGAAATGTCTAGGTGGGGGGAAACGCAACCCTGACGGGCTGCGAAAAAAGTTGTTCGCTGCCCAAAGCAGATATGTACCTGTCAGTCACTCGGCTTAGGGCATATGTCGGTATTGCTCGTAGCATAACAATGGACTGGCCAGTACATCTCTTTTGTCGTGCGAGGACAGCAGTGCAAACGTTCTCATTCTACTAGGGAAAAAGACTCCAAAAACAAAAGAGAAAAAAATCCTTCGGTAGAGAGAGAGAGAGAGAGAGAGAGAGAGAGAGAGAGAGAGAGAGAGAGAGAGAGAGAGAGAGAGAGAGAGAGAGAG